TAACGCTGTGGTTACTATAATATCAGTGCACGGGAAAAACAAATTAGTCTTGAATCAATGATGGTTATTTTCACACATAAGTAAGAATATTATAATCTTTTTAGGAAATTTTTAGTCTCGATTCCATTGAATTCGTATTGATGCAAGTGTTACTTGCACTCGATTCAAGACTAAAAATCTAAGAATATTATAATATTCTTGCTTATACGTAAGAATATCTGTCGTTGAATAAATTATAAGAATATCTGCCGTTGATTATTTCTTTTCTGTGTAATAATAACTTCACACATATGTATCGCTGCTACGATAAATTATATTTCGCGCCGAAAAGATAATTTTCTATCAATATACCGATCATTCACGCGCACTTAGAGCGCACGGGCACGGGATCTCTCTGATTGCAAGGGTGATGTTTGTAATCTCGTGGACGTCGAAATCTCGTTTTCTCAGCAAAACCGAGGTTTTCGCGAGGCGTTCGCGCGCGCTTTGTCGCGTAAAACGGAAAATCCGTTTATATATCGAAGCTCATCATTTATCGGCGCGATTTTTCCCGTCGAGACCGAAATGTGCACAGCCGACGGCGCATACGAGTGGAACTTAATCAAATGGTAAACGGCTGGAAAACAAGCAATCGTGACCGTCGCGCCGTTAGGCAGTCGAGCACGCCGGGGGCAGTGCTGAAAGAGCTAGAAAGAGACAGACAGAGAGAGAGAGAGAGAGAGAGAGAGAGAAAGCGTGGGCGCCGGCGGCGAGAGCGAGGGGGCAGACGGAGCATCAATCGGGAAGGGGTGTAAATCTGATAAAATCATCTCGAACCCTCCGGTCTTTCTGTCCCTTTGCGGCGCGTGGTGCCCGTGCTCGGGTTCCTCGTAGATATATCCGATACCAGCGGGGGTACCTCCTAAGTAACGTAAGTAATGTAAGAGGGTGGTTGTTGCTACGGTTGTTATTAAATGAGACAGCCTAATAGGCCCATTACGGGGTCCCCTCGCTGCCGTCCATTCCCACATAATATAATCCTCACCGCACGCGCTCGCTCGTTGTCGTTCTGCCGGCCGTTACCGCCCTTTACCGTTTCGCCACCCCCAATATGTCGCGTATCTTGATCCGGGCGCGCTCACGCCTACGAAAATTCTCGCTCGCCGCGAGAAACTGTCCCCGGGACGCGTCCCTTTTCACTCGACGCATAATCCAGGTCGACGTGTGCGGATATCAGTGTTGCGATATACGCGTGTCCCGGATCAAGAGAGAAAGAAACCGCGGACTCGCGCGTTCGGGAATCAAGCCGGCGAGAAATCGAGCCGAGGGAAGAAGGTCATGGGAGAAATTCTGTATAAAAAAATAAATAAAACAGTTCGGATAAATATGTGTCCTCGAACGCTCAGTTTCTGAGATTATAGCTGCCGCGATATCAGTTTAGGAAAGGAGGTTTTGATTTAAGAAATAACGACATTATCTGGAATTAACCGAGGATGAAGATCCTTTAATTGAAACTATAAGAATCTAAGTACGAGTGTACTCTAGGGGGTTCTTAATATTAATATTATTTGCGGGAAGATATCTGTTAGTCGTTACATTAAACGTTCGTTCAACTTCTCGTTCGGCGAGGAATCTGCCTTACATGCTAAACTGATCTTTTCTGTCCCAGAGTAACAATTATTTTACCTGTTCCCAGGTAACCCGTTTTAAAGTGACTTATATTTGACAAATATGTTTTATTCATTAAATCGCAAATAAGTAACTAGACACGTATTGTAATAAAATGTTCGTTTTCCTCATCAATGCATAATTGACTGTGGAATAAAGGATACGTTTTTTTATTTCACTCACAAACGGTAATAATATAACAACGTAACAATGATTCTGCGGTTAATATTCATGAATATCAAAATTGATAGACATTATCTTCAAAGACAGGTAAGAAAAATGTTTCATCAATATTCTTAACCCGCTTATCGCGGCACATTTTCTTTCGTCGTTGTCATCTTCTGAAGACTATCTTAGAAACCAAGCCTCAGCGGCCATATGTTTACTAAAACTGTTTTATTTATTTTTCAACATAGAATGCGTCCTGTAAGTTCGTCGGCGGAGTTCAGATATTTTGTACATCAGTCTGTACATTTTCTCTCTCCGTTGCGGAATTGTATCGACGATCTTTTTACGACAATCTCTATCCCACCTCCCGAGAAGATTTCGAAATGACCGAAGCGGGGGTACGGAATGACAGTTTTCTCGACTCTCATTAACCGGGCGCTGAATGAATATTAACGCGCGCGCTCATAATTCAGTTAGCGATCTACAACGCTAATGCGAAACGCGATGCGCACGTGTGTGTGCGTGTGTGTGCGTTCGTACACGCGCGCGTGTAAAATTATGCAAACAACAACGGCGAAGTGCGGACGCGGATATTAATCCGTCGCGATGGCGACGTGTTTTCCCATCTCTCGGGTGTCAAAGTTTCGCGAACGCGGATACTTTTATCGCGGAGGCGCGCGCGCGCTCACGCGCCCGCCGCCTCTAATTGCCGAGAGGGCGCGGTCTTAATTTATTCAACAATTCCGCCAATTACGAGAGCGGCGAATATGAATAACGACGATGTTCCGAATTAATTAATCATTAGTAAGTATTAGCAACTCCATTTACCGACACTTTTGCATTAATATTAAATGGCCGCGCGGCACTGAATTAGCCGTTAAACGATGGCGTTTAAATGTTTGAATTATACAGAAATAGAGAGAGAGAGAGAGAGAGGAGGAAAGAGTGCATGTCGCCCTTTTCTCTCTTTTTATTCTTCGCTAACGTATTATTTTTTCCTTTGTTTTTTGAGAAAGAGGCTTCTCGCGAACCGCTTATTATAAATAAAAACCAACAACGGCGCGGGTTTTGCGTATTCCGCTCGGATGACTGAAATATCGTCCTACGCAGTGAAATGAATGGCGATCGCCGATCAGTACAAGGTTCGGATTTCGGCCAGTTATTTCGACGCCATCAACCAATAAAATCGAAGGTCACATCGCCGCATCAACCGGAGTTTAATATAACGGTATTGTGCAACATACGTTGTACGCGCGAATAAACGATGCGCGCAATACACGTGTTTGCGACCAAGTGCTCTCTCTCTCTCTCTCTCTTATTTTCTTTCTCTTTCATTCTCTTGGGTGCTATTAGTGAAAAGTTTCATTACAAAATCACTATCGTCGCTTCGCTGCTACGTTTACGAAGGATCATTTGTTGGAAATGAAACACATCGCAAAGAGTGACGGAAAGCTCCTATCGCTAATCGTGTTTTTAAGACTGAATTTAGAAATTATACGGCTTCACTTTCGCGGTTTCCTCGTCGAGAGAGGCTGTCTAGCGCGATTATGTCACCACGCATGCATGGAGTGTCTCGCAAATTGTGGCTTTTCTCCGAGCTTTCGAAGACATTTCGAAGTTTCAAAGAGAGAACAGCGAGCAGATTATTTTCTATGCGGTAGTTTTCAAGACGTCAATTACTTTCTGATTCCAATTGATTGAAAACCACAGACGATCGTAGGGTCTGTAGATAAGGAGGGTTCGCTCCCGGATTTGCTTGAAGTATATTTGGTTTCGGCGGAATTTCAACCGCAGACGCGATATCAAATTTGCGCAGTTTCGAAGATCAAAGCCGAATGTCGCCGACGCGCAATATTGCCAGCGTTCGTTTAATCTCATTGCCGCAGTAACGAGTCGAGTTTCCCGGAGATGTTTTTCGCGCGGACGGTTACATAAAGAAGCGGTGAATATGGCGACACTTTAATCGAACATATCGATTGAATGACGAAACCTCAGCGACTAAGAGCCTCTTCGTACAAGCTACTTTTGCGATTGTGGCGCTTCATCGTCCGAGAGCTTTCGTCTATTTGCCTCTACGGCTTTGTCTCCGCGAATCTGCAGACGCAATGTCACAGCAATCCGTCGCCGATATCGCGGAGATCCAGCCGATTCGAGTTCGGTCGATATACTGAGAGAGATTATAGTTATTTTCGGTCTAAATCATATCCTTTCTACGGAGAAAAATTGTTCGCTGATATAGCAAATTGTTTGTTATTTTAGTGACGAGAAAATTTCTTTGGACAGCAAAAAGACGCGTTAAGATTATTAATTGCTATTTATGCCGGGCAAAATTTTATCATTGACGCAACGACGTTTCGCTAAGCAAAATTATTTTTTCCATATAACAAATCTTTTCGCTGTCACTATGGTAACAATTCGCTGTGCTGGCGAAAATGTTTCCCCCGTGTGGTTTTGACCGCAAAAATAGTAGTACGAAGAAAAATAATTTTGCCGTTGCAGCGAAACCATCGTTGCTACCGCGTATTCGTTGCGACAGCGATAAAATTTAGTTGACATGGCCGAATTAGCGAATTATTCGTAATTAGAGCGGTAACAGTTTTGTTACCGAGACGGAGGGAATGTTTTGCCGGGTAAATTTATCTTTAGGACAAATTAATTTGCTGTCAGGACAAAATAGTGTTTTACATTGCTCGCGTTCGGCGGAAGAAGCAGCTTAGCAAGTGCTTCGTGATTATTGCTTCTGACTACATCTTCCTGGATCTAAAGGAATACTCCAATCATAGATAGCAACGATAAAGCGCTTACTGAATTGTTTTCTCTACCGAACGCGAGCGTTTACTAATTCGTACGGCGAAATAATTTATAGATTCGGCAAAATAATCCAGCGAATGGCAATTAATACCGCTAACAGATCGTTTCGCTGTCCACACCGACGGATTCCGCTGCGCACAAAATTCGCTGTGCCAGCGAACTATTTTCCCCCGTGCGGCGTGCAAGGTGATCACTGACACTGCGGCAACACTTACTAGAGAAACGGTAATCTTGAAATAATTCTTTCACCACGACGATCGCAGTTACAAGTAGCGAATATTGATCTCTCGGTGGGCGATCGTTTACCGTCGGTCCCCGAGCGGAATTCGCGAGCACCGAGCGACGGGGAGCGGAGGGTCCAAGGACACACGTACCTCGACAGCATGGCGAGATCCGCCGACGCCTGGTGGCCCAGCAGAGGATTGGCAGAGGCGTCGCCGGGCGGCGAGAAAGTCGCGGCCGGACTGGTAGCACTGGTAGCACACCCGATCCCGATACCCGCGGAATTCGCTCTGGGCTCCAGTCCGGTAACGTGGCCGCCGGCGGTGGGCAGGCCGCGTTGCCCGCCGGACAACCTCAGGGACGTGGGGGAGGACGAGACTCTGCCGCCGGGGCTGCCGCAGGACGGCAGGATCCTCTGCGACGGCTGGGAGTTCGCCGGCGGCAACGGCGACGTCCTGTCGACGTCCGACGACTGCCTCTCGCCGGACACGGTGGACGTGGAGTCCACCGGCGGCGACTCCGGCCTGCCGAGGATGCTGGAGATGCTGAAGGACGTGTACTGAGGGTTGCAGGCGGGCCTCAGCGCCGGCTTGCCGACGTCGAAGCTGAACGGATGGTGGTGGTTGCTCAGGCCGCAGCCGGACTTGCCGTTCTTCTCCTGCAGCAACAGCTCCGCCGGCGTGGAGCTGCTCCTGGAGCCCTCCAGCTCCAGGTCCTCCTCCGATACCACCGACACCTCGATCTCCGTCTCGCCGGACATGCCGCGGAGCCGCTCGACCTCCTGCTTCCGCGGCGCTTCCGCTAGTCCAGCTAGCCGACTCTCCCCGCGAAGAAGCCGCGCCGGCTGCCGTTCCTCCTCGTAGCCGCGCGTCGTAGCAGCGCGTTACCCCGCAGCTGATTCTCGGCAGCCAGCTCTCTCTCTCTTGACTTCCCTCTCTCTCTCTCTCTTTCTCGCTGACACACGGCACACCCCGTCGGCACCGATCGCCGACGGAGTTAAGCGGAACCCGTCGGCTCGCGCGACGCGACCTCGCGACCTCGGCGGCGGTCCTCCTCCTCGCACGATCGCATAGCAGGAGCGACGCAGGGTACGTCTGAGACCGCGGGGCTGGCCGATTAGTGCGGTGGACGCGTCACCAGGACGTCGTCCTGCGTGGATCGGATCGCTCGATCGCGCGACATTCGTAAGCGATACCCCGGACGACAGGATGATAGGAGACGAGACACTTGGAGGGCCCACCCTTCGCGGAGTCTCCCCCTTCCGCCACCTATCACACCCCCTCTCTCTGTCTTCACCTCTCCCCCCCTCTCTCTCTGTCTCTCCGCTTCTCGTTCTCTTTCTTCACCTATCCGCCCCTCAGAAGCTCTCCACTCGAAGAGAGCCTCTCCCGTGTGCCTCCCCCCTCTCTCTCTTTTCTTCTCTTTATCTTTCTCTCCAGCCGTGAAGCGTTCTCGCGCTATGCCGCTCGCACTTTCCTCGAGTCACTGCCACTGATCGCCGAGCACTGGTCACAAGGCAAGCAACGGGGTTGCCGTCGTCATCGCGACGGAGTTACCGCGTCGTTCTCCCGGCGGCCCGTTGACGACCGGTAGAGCCCGCGAAGAGGCCCGCGATTTGAACGTGCGGTACTGCGAACTCCGGCGGACTTCCGGACAGATGGCTCTCGCATGTAAGAAGGACGAAACACGCGATCTCGCGGTCCGAAGGGCGCCCGACGCGCTCGCGTCGCGTCGGAATTTCGACTCGCGCGCGTCGCCCAGAGCGTCGGCGCGCAGCCAGACCGTCCGTCCGTCCGTGCGTGCGTGCGTGCGTCAGAAGGAGAGCAGCACACCCTCGTGCCGCGGTGCGAGTGACGAGAGCCGCGCGCGCGGACGGGCCACTGTACTCGCACTACTAAGGGTAGGAAAACGCCGGAGAAACCGCAGGTCACACGGACGAGGCTCGCCCGCACACACTCTCGCTCGCGCGCCTCGTACGGCGAGAGGGTAGGTAGGCAGATAGACGAGGAGGAGGGAGAAGGCCGACGTCGGCGGGGCGGTGGAAGTAAGACAGAGAGAGCGCTTCGGAGTCACGCTTCGAGAGTCACGGGGTAGTTATTGCGCGATAGCTGGAGACTGCGAAGAGGCGAGGGGGAAGGGGCCCGAGGAGGCTCTCTCTCCCTCTCTCGGCGGCACGGGGCGAACGGATAAATTAGAGGGTGTCAGAGGGAGACGGAAGGGCGAACCCCCAGGTCGGGGGTAGATGAGGAAGAGGGGAAACGAGCGCGCGGAGGACGGCTAAGCTGCAAGTTGCCAGAAGGGGTGTCGGTCGGTGCGGTCGGGGTAGGTAGGTGGCGGGGCGGGGCTACGGATCGCCAGGGGTTGGCTCTCCGGACTTCTCATAGGACGGAGTCGCGATCGATGACTCGCGCCGCACACGACTACCCGTCGGGGTAACCCTCGCCGCGGACCAATCGCGTCGGTCGCGCCGTCCTTAACTCGAAAGATACTCGCCCTCGACGTTCCCGCGGAACGCGCCGCGGCGGGCGGACGGGGTGGCCGACGATCG